TAATCATTAGAAAGAGCAAAATCAAGAAATCACTGCAATCCCCTCCTCACTTCCTGCAAAAAATAAATTCCATGCAGATTAAAGATTTAAAGCTAAAAAATTAATTCACAAAAAAGGAGGATAAATGAACAACTTTGCCACAGAATTTATAATAATAAAGCATAGCAGAACATGTTTAAACTTGACCATTCATCAAGGGAAGAGCATGCAACCATAAATTACAGTATTCACTCAGTGGAATAATATGTGGCTACTAAGATAGCACTTTGAAAGGAGGAGGAGGTGGAACTGTATATACTGACATAGATGTCTATGGCTTTCATGAGCATAAAAGGAAATTAAAGTCAGGCATGTGTTAAACAACACAAATCCTGAGGAAGAAAATACATATTTGTTATATCTGGATGCAAGAATGGGGGGCCATCGCTTTATAAGCATACTTTATGCTGTCAGCACAGTTTGAATTTTTGCTATAATAAGAATGAACAATGGAGTCACATCATGAAGAAAAAATTGAAATTGTTAAGTTTCATTCTACCCAGAGGTACAAGGGAAAGGTACAAAGAGTACAATCAAGGTTAAAAGTATACAGCAAAACAGTGAAGAGCCAGATCATGTGAATTCAAATTCCATCACGTTTCCATTCATACAAATTCCATCCATACAAGTTATCTGACCTCTCTTTGTTTCAGTTTTGCTTTCTATAAAGTGGGCATAATAAAAGCAAATGCTTTCTGGGATTTTTGTAAAGATTAAGTGAGTCAATACATGTAAAGTGCTTTAAAGGGTCTGACAAATTTAATTTTATTGTTATTATTTCCATTAAAGGAATGTGTTGTGGTCTAAATATGAAGTGGCCTCCCAGGGGGCCTGATCCCCAATGCAGCAATTATCAGATACGGAGTCCCAGAGAGGTGACAGGATCATGGGGTGCTGATCTCATTCAGCCATTGAAGATTGATCCATTGATGGGTTGAGAGCTGACTGGGCTATTGGGAGGGGGGGTCCAGTAAGATGAAGTAGGTCGGTGAAGGCCTGCCTTTAAAGGGTATGTCCTGTCCCATCCCTTTCTGTCTCTCTGTCTCTCTGTCTCTCTCCCTTCCTCCTTCCCTCCCTGCCTGCCTCTTTCTCTCTCTCCCTTTCTCTCTCTCTCTCTCTCTCCCTCACTCTCTCTCTCTGCCATGAGGTTCTGCCACATTACAGGTCAGAAACAATGGAGCAAAGTAGACTGAAACTTCTGCAACTGTGAACCAAAATAAACCTTCCTTCTGTTAAATTGTCATTCTCAGGTGCTTTGTCACAGTGATAGGAAGCAGACTAATACAGAGGAATTAAACCATCTCTCTTTCCTTAGTTGGCTTATGTTATTATGCTTCTCACAGTGTGAACATCATCCTGGATTCCATAGGATCATAGAATTTAAAGGTCTTTGTTTCTCCCCCTACCCTTTTTGAGATAAGGTCTTGCTACATAGTTCAGGCTGGACTTGAACTCACTATATAGCCAAGGCCAGCCTCAAACTTGCAACAATCCCCCTGCCTCAGCCTCCTGAGTGCTAGGATTACTGGCATACACCATCATGCCCTGCACGGTACATATTTCTGATACAACATGGATCCTAGACACAATTCAAGTAATTTTGGTAGTCAGCCAAAGGCATTGTAGTGGCTGATTGATTGTGTCAACTTGAGAAGTTTAGAAGCTTAACTAAATTGGCTCAGCAATTCCACACTCGAGGGTGGATCATCACCTAGAGGATATAAAAGGGAAATAAGGAAGGACAGAGGGGCTTCCATTCTTCAGAGGAGCTCCAGTCTTCACCTTCAGCTTGGAGGTCATCTCCTGGTTTCTAGTACAGAACTTCGGCTTCCCCCTTTGATCCTTTAGACTTCTGGTGTAGACTCATTGGCCTCCTGTCACAGACCCATTGGTCTTCTGATACAGACTTGCACAGAACACTGCAGTGAGCTCCAGACCTTGGACTGAATCCTTCAGTCTCCAGTGTGCAGATACCCTCTGCACGGTTCCTCATCCAACTCTGTGGCTGACCGTCATAAGCCAATCTTGTAATTTCTTATACATTTATATATGTTGTGTTATATCTGTTTCCCTAGTGAAACCCTGACTGATACAGACAAAGTGATTTATTTCCATGCTGTGGTCGGCAAGTTCAAAGTAGAAGTAAAATTCAATGGACTTGGCCTGGCAGTCTTCACCCTCAACCTCAACCTTCCTCCAGACTTTTAAAAGATATACTTATTTCAGTGTATCCGTCTAGAAAAGCCTCTGTGAGGGTATAAGCCAACTGAGTTTTTTAATACTGAGTTTTATTGAATTACTGAAATAACATCACTCAGATTCTAAGATAGTGTCTCACTGGGGAAATGAGTGTCTGTTTTACAGCTTACAGGCTGGGTTCAGAATAAGACATCAAAAGCAGGTGCATTTTTGAGGTTTGTTGTTTGCTTGTTTGTCTGGTTGTTTGTTTTGGTACTGGAAATTGAACCCAAGGGCACTGTACCACTAAGCCACACTCCCCAGATCCCCCTTTTTTGAGATACGTTCTTGCTAAACTGCTCAGGTTGGCCTCAAACACATGATCCTCCTGCCTCAGCCTCCCGGGAACTTGGGATTATAGGCATGCAGTGCCACACTTGGTCAAACTGGCTTATATTTTTAAGGTGACAGTTGACTTCAAGTGAGGAAAGGTTCCAGGAGAGAAGCAAGGCATTCCAAGGTCGTAACTGCAGAACCAATGGGAGAATTAGTCTGATTCTCACTCTTGATAGATAATAATAGGATAATAAAACCTGTGCCTTGTAGATAAGATCTAGAACAATCACCTTAATCAATTATTCCACACTTTTATAAGTCTCAGATTATAAGCATTCAGAAGAGAGGAGATAGATCTCTGTCTTGAGCATTGCCCAGAAACGTACCATGTACAACTACATATTTATCAAGGATTTTAAATTTAGTTTGCAGTGAATGTAGTTAGGAGCTGCTCTGCCAATGTCCTCCTCACTGTTCTTCTGAAGATGTAATCCATGTCTCAGGGCACAATTTGGAGAGGAAGGCAAGAAAGGGACTGCGTTTTGTTATTAGGACTTATCTAACTTTGGAGACCTATAGCAAGACATAGTATACCTTACAGCTATGCTGTATGTGCATAAAAAGAAGCCTTCCCCTGCAAATGTACTGCAGAGACACTCATGGGATCCAGAAATGGAGGTCATGGATTCCCGTGGCTCAGGAAAGCAGAGGGAGAAAGGAAAGAAGCAGGTGGCAGTCAGTGCTGATATGGGGACCAGAGATTCTTGTCCAGCATCTCTAGTGGACCTTCACAGCGTCCACTTCCCTTCCCTCCTGGCTGACCCAGCTCTAGTCTTGTGCAAAATGCCCTGACTGGCCCTGGTGCATCTTAACAATCCTGTCCCTCACTTTCTTGGCCTCCTTCGGGGTGGGGGCTAAGGCCACCCCTCCAGGGTCCTGACCCATGCACAGATCTAAGCCTACACATTTCCTCTCCAGGATGTTTTCTCCATGGCTTTTCTCCTTCCAGTTTTAGTGACCTTATTCCTTTCATATTTCAGAATTTGGGGAGAAGCTGGACACAGGTTTGACCATGGGACATCCAAACCATAGAATGTGTGTGCTGTGATTTTTTTTTTAATGAGATCCTATAGAAATCTCAGACAGCCCCATCACCTTTGACTAGACTTAAATCCAAGACAGGAAGCTTCAAATCAATAAATAGCAATTGCTTATCCAGTATTTAAGAGAAAATGGAAGGATCCATTTCCCTGGCTCTGCACCCCAGGAAAGTCATCTGTCTGCAGTGATGGGGACTGGATACTGGGCAGAAGGCCCAGCAGGAGCAAAGGCTTAAAGACACAGCCAATTCTGAGTCATTTAAACAGAAAACAATTCGTGTTTTTAATACTTGTGTGTTAGTGATGCCTCAGGCTGACACAGATCCCAGCAGTGCCACAGGGTTACCCTTTATTTAATGACACAGGGCTTTAAGCCTATCAAAACGTATGAGCTAGATGCCACCTGGTATAATGAGAAAAATGCTTACTGCACTTGCAAGGGAAACGATATGTGAATATGCCAGGGTCTCAGTAGCCCTGTTTCAGTGAAAGGGTGTCAGCAGTTGAGGGCCTTGTGGCAGATGTTGGCAATGACCTTCACAGCGTCCACTTCCCTTCCCTCCTGGCTGACCCAGCTCTAGTCTCGTGCAAAATGCCCTGACTGGCCCCGGTGCATCTTAACAAACCTGTCCCTCACTTACTTGGTCTCCTTCGGGCTGGGGGCTAAGGGAACCCTTTGCTCAGGACTGAGCAAGGAGGTTGGAGAAGTTATGGAGAAGTGTTTCTGGAAAGGATGGGGCTTTTCTGATGTGAAGGAAATATGTGAATGGTGCTCCTCTCTCCCCAAAAAACAAACCCCAGAGAGTCTGGGGTGCAGCTCAGTGGTGGAGGGCTTGCCCGTCTTGTGCAAGGCCCTGTCCTCTGAAGGAGGACAGCCCGTCCTCAGCTCCTGACCCCTCCCACATCCCCACCCACCCAGCCAAGAGTAGGGCGGGCAAGGCACAGGATGCAAGAGGATGCCCAAACACAAAGAGAAACATTTTAATGCAGTCATTTTGAAATTTTTAAAAATATTGACTTTTCTCTTTTGTTGTAGACACCCAACTGTTATGATTCCCATCTTTAAGTAAAATTTTGTTATTTTGCTCACCATGGATATTTTTGCATTCGTTTTGATGTTTACAAACATTACATTACTATATGTTCCACCTCAATTATTGCTTTGGACACCTCTTTCCATTTTGTACCCAAAGAGAGTGACTTGCTGGCTCATCCTACTGCCAGGCCTGGCACTGCTTCCTAGACACACACAGGCTAGTGGCAGGTGGTGCTTGATTTCGATGCTTTGCCATCTGGGGCCTCCCTGACCCAGAAACTGCCAGGTCCCGGAGATAGCAAAGGGCCTACCTCTTTGTGCGCTTTAACATGCAGCGGTCTAATGGGAAGCTCACGAGGTCGCACATCCCTCCTGTGGGAACCGTAAGGAGTCATCTTCTCAGCAATGTCCTGGCCTACTGGCCTACATTTGCAAGCAGTGCTGAGGGGAGGGGGACCTGCAGTGACCAAGGTGTGCTTTAGGAAGCTGCCTGGGAAGGCATCTTGGGAAGGCCAGCTTCTGAGCAGGACCTAGAAGGCAGAGAAGGAGAGAAATGTCAGGAGAAAGGAAATAACCTCGTTCCTGGAAAGATCATTGCTTGTGCTGGGCCACCCCTCCTCTCCTGTAACTTCACATACCATTTTCTTCTGCTTTCCACTCACCTTCCCAACCAGACGCTTCAAGCCTCCTCGGGTTTCCTTGGCATACTCCTCCCTCTAGATGTCACAGGTCTCTGGGGGCAGTGCCATTTCTGGGGGCTGATTTGTCCCCTCTGCCAGTTCTGAGGGCTTAGTGGCCTTCTTGCACATTGGCACAGATGCTTCAAACTTACCCTATCTAAAACCAAACCTGTGGCCTCATCTCATGCCACACAATCATGGAGATGCTCGATGTTTCCTGCCTGGGATATGAAAGTATCACAGCTGATTCTTCTGCCTCAATCTCTCCCAGCTTCAATTTGTGCTTCTCAGTGTAGCCAGAGACTCTTATCCTTGCACCCCCTGCCTGATAATCTCAATGCTTTCCCATCATATGCAACAAAAGCCAGTAACTCTGAGCCCTCAAGACCCATCATGCTGGCTTCCTTCCCAGCAGTACCCCCAAATCTCAAGCCTGTACCCCACCACTGTCACCACAAGAGCCCCAAATTCACTGACCTCTCTGACTACAGGCATCCATGACCTGACAGTCATATCCTGAATAGTTTGAATATTCTAATTACAAAAGACATGCTTGTTATTAGAAAATAAAGATAAGCCCAGTGAATAAAATTGAAGTTGATGTGAATAATCTTGCCACCCACTACTATTCACTTGTAAGTATTAATTGAATATCTACTATGTGCAAAGAGCAAAGAATCAGATCGAAGCAAGGTATAAGAACTAGAAATGCATTACGATGTTTGAATGAGAAGCGGGGCTGTCCTTTCCTATGCTGTACCCCCTGTCCAAAACATCCTACATCCCTGTCCTGTGGCTAACTTGAATCCTTGAAGGTCAGTCAAGCCCCTTCTGCTTTATGAATCCTTCCTGATTTCCCTCAAACTGAGCCAACCACCATTTTATCACTCTGTCCCTTTTTATTCATCCACGGTAGCCCAGATAGCAAAACCCCTATTGCAGGTTGTTGGCTGTACCTCTGCCTCCCCTTCCAGCCTACGGCTCCTTTAGGGAGGGAGCCCTGGTGACCATTCCAGCACCCGGAACCCAATAAGCTCTTCACAAATGAGCCATGACTCACGGTTGTTATCTTGAGTCAGAAAAACCCAAGTGGTTTCAGTAGCTACAACTCCATTCAACAAAAGCTTTGCATATTTTCCAAACACCTCGTTTTTATTTAAAACATTTTCCCAGGTCGTGTTTTAAATGTAATAACAGACATAACTCATTTTAATGGTTCATGTTACACAATAAGCAAGTTCAACTGGATACCAAAGCAAATTACAAGAGCCATTTACTACAGTTTGTACTCCCATGGAACCCTCGAAAATTAGTTAGCCTGCCTTCCTTACTGAACACCCTGCCAGTTTCAAAGCATTTAAAGTAATCAATTAGCTAATCCTTGCAACACCTCTCAGGGTTTAGCAAATGGCCTCATAACATTTTGGAGATATATTTGTAAAAGATAGAGACAAAACATGACTATGGTGAGAAGCAGTTGCATTACCAGTGATGTACAGCCCCTGAGCAGCCAGCAGCCAATGTAAGACACCAGTGAAAGATGCTTAGTTTAGCAGAGACTCCTGCTTCTACTGCTCACCATTTGAAAAAAATTCATCTGAAAATTGCACAGACTTAAGGTAAGATTACCAGAGCAACCATGACATTCTATGGGAAATAATAAATGATTTAGATAAGGAGGAGCTTTGGGGGCACAAAGAGGAGTCCCCACAGCTTGAAACATAAAGAAAGGCAACACAAAAGCTTAGGCTAGAGGAACTAAAAGTGACTGCTTCACATTTGATCGGGGCTTACTAGTGAGGAAGATATTCAGTACAAACTGAGGGAAACTACAACATTTTTGAGAATTAATACATGTTTTTACAACAGTTCTGCAAAATCAGTCATATCATCCCCATTTTAAATTTGAGGCTCCCATAGACTAAAAGATCTCCACTTCTAGTTAGCAAGTGAAAGGTATGTATTTAAACCTAGGTCAGTCCTTCTCCAAATGGAGGACCACTGCACCCTAACACTCCTCAGTACCACAGGCATTCATTGAATGAGTTCATGTCTCAGGCACCAACAAGAAACTGATGACCGGGGCTGGGGATTTAGCTCAGCGGCAAAATCGCCTGCCTGGCAAGCGCAAGGTCGTGAGTTCGGTTCCCGGTACCGGAGAAAAACCA